TGATATACAGAAATGCCTTTGATTTATGTGTGTTGATTTTATATCCTGCCACTTTGCTGAATTCATTTATTAGTTCTAGTAGTTTCTTTGTAGACCCTTTTGGGTCTTCTAGGTATAGAATCATGTCTTCTGCAAATAGTGATAATTTAAGTTCTTCTTTTCCTATTTTTATGCCTTTAATTTCTTTCATCTATTTGCTCTGGCCAGTGTTTCGAGAACTATATTGAATAGAAGTGGTGATAGAGGGCATCCCTGTCTTGTTCCAGATTTTAGATCATTTTTAAAGTGGCTATACTGTTTTTCATTCATACATCATGTTTCAATTGCTCTATATCTTTGTCAACACTTATTTTATCAGTCTTTGATTTTAGACACCCTAGTGGACGTGTACCTGTATAGTGACTTTGACTTGCATTTTCCTGTTAAGCAATGATTTTCTAGATCTTTTCCCATGCTTATTTGCCATTCATATATCTTTTGGTTTTTGATGAAATGTTCAAGTTCTTTACCTATTTGAAAAGTGTTGTCATAACAATCTAATAGTCTTTTTGTTTGTTTTTAAATGTTCTTGGTAAGAGTCCTTTAGCAGGTGTTCTGTATATATTTTCTCCCTGCCTGTAATTTGCCCTTTCATTTAACTAACTTGGTTTTTGAGGAGCAARTTTTAATGTAGATACAGATGAATTTATCAGTTTTTTATTCTCTTTTGTGTGTAACTTTAATAAATTTTTGCGTAATCCAATATCACAAGAAAATATTCCTGTTTTCTCTACAAGTTTTAAAGTGTTGGCTTTGATATTTTCATATGTAATTAAATTTGAGTTCATTTTTTTTTGAGAGAGAGAATTTTTCAGTATTTTTTTTTTTTTTTTTTTTTAGTTCTCGGCAGACACAACATCTTTATTTTATTTTTATACTGTTCTGAGAATCCAACCCAGCGCATGCCAGGCGAGCGCGCCACCGCTTGAGCCTTGAGTTCATTTTTTATGAATGGTATAAAATTTGAGATTTTGGGCGAGTTATTTATTTGTGTGTTTGTGTATGTCTTTTTCACAGTCCAGTTATGCAGTGGAGTAAGTTGCAAGACAGTCAAAGTAAGTGCCCAGACATGTCAGGGAAGACATGATTTATTGGGAAAACTTACAAGAGATCAGGGTCTACATCGAGAAGAGATCACTGTCAACCGGCTGACAGATAGTACCTCTGTCCCTTACCATGTTTTGCCAGGCAGTGCCTCCTTTCCCTCATGGAGTTTGTCCAGTGGTCGCTGTTTGACAAGTGACATGTATCCCTCAGTTCAGTGTGCTCAGTTCTGCTTTATGATAGGCTGCAGAAGCAGTGACATCATCAGCATTAGCTTGTTAGTTTGTTTGATCAGCATCACAAGGAGCAACTGTCCCAGTATACATGCAAAAAAAGTAGCTTTCTACAACTAACACTAAGTTAACCTTCATTTCCCTTGTGCATAAGAGAGAGCCAAGTCCTTCAAAATATTATGTATCTGGACTTTCTGGCCCAAGATTGCTCTCATTGTTCCATTAACTGGGCTTGGGTCTTTGGGATCAGAAAGGAAGCATTTAGGGATAGGGTGTTTTACTATCCCCCTTTCTATTAGGGATGATACAGCATATGTATTGTTGAAGTATTATTTGTTCATGTAACTATTTTCCCCCATTGAAATACATTGACATCTTTGTCAAAATCATTGAGCTATCTCTATGAGAGTCTATTTGTAGATTTTGTGTTTTCTTCCATTGACCTGTGTGTCTTATCTGTACACCAATACCACACAGGTTTGATTGGTGTGACTTCTATAGAAAGTTTTGAGATCATGTAGTGATTTAAGAGAGAACTAACAACTGTTGAAGTTTTGTGATCTGTACACATGGTATCTCTTCATATTAATTTGAGCCTGCTTCAATTTCTCTCATCCAGTATCTCAGAGTTTTCAGAGTACAAGTTGTACTTGTGTTTTCTTAAAATTACCCTCATTATTCTTTGATACTTTTGTAAACAGTATTACTTTTACTTTCATTTTGAATTTATGATTATTTGTTACTAGTATATAGTGCTAGTTTGTAGAAGTAGTATCAATTTTGGGGTGGGGTTAAGGACTATGTATCTGGCACTCTTCCAAATCATTTATTCTCATATTACTTTTGTAAATTACTTAGGATTTTTCTACATAGAGTTGTGCCATTTGTGAAAAAAGAAAGTTATGTTTTTATTTTATTTCTTTTTCTGATTTTATGCAATGACTAGAACTTCCAGAATGATGTTAAATAGAAGTGATTAAAGTGTGCATCTTTGACTTGTTTTCCTATCACAGATGAAAGCATTTAGTCTTTTCACCATAAAATATGATGCTAACTGTAGGGCTTTTATATAGTTTCCCCTTATCTGACTGAGAAATTTTCTTTCTGTTCCTAATATTCTTAGGATTTTTAATCATGAATAGATGTTGAATTTTTCCAGGTTTTTTCATCTATTGAAAATCATTAAATCATTAGTTTGTGAGTTTGGGATGTAAATTGATTTTTTTTAATGCTAAACTAACCTTGTATTCTTGGGATTAACTCATTTGGTCACAGTATCTTCATCTATTACATATATTGCTTGATAGAATATATCTAACATTTTGTTAAGAATTTTTTTATTGATGTCCTTGAGTAATACTATTCCAGGGGGTGGTACTGGGCTTATAAAACTAGATATGTACCTTTTCTTCTATTTTCTATAGAAAATATTTTTTTCTATTTATTTTATACTTTGTATAGAATTTGTATTATTTCCTTCTTAAATATTTGGTAGTTTGGTGGAATTCACTACTGAAGCCATCTGGGCCTGGAGTACTCCTTGTAAGAAAGTTTTAAACTATGAATTAATGTATTTAATAAGGCTATTAAAGTTGTTTATGTCTTGAGTAAATTTCAGTAGTTTGTAGTTTCATGAATTTTTTATAGTAAAGTTGTTCATAATATTCCATTAGTCTTTCAGTGTCTATAGAATCTATAATCATTTCCCTCTGGGATCGACAGTATTGGTGATTTGTAAATTTTCTTTTCTTCAGTCCAGCTAGCATTTTATTGATAGTTTTGATCCTTTTAGGGAGCCAGCTTTCTATATTGTTGATTTTATTTTTTTTATATTCTTATTCATTTCTGTCCACTATTTTCTGTATTGCTTACTTTGGATTAGTTTGCTGTTCTTTTTCAAGTTTCTTAAGGTGGAAGCTTACATTACTGATTTGAGAACTTCCTTGTTTTCAAATGTTACAAACTTACTGTTGCTTTGTTCTAAGTATTGCTTTGTACCAACAAACTTTTATATGTGGTATTTTAATTTTTATTCAGTTTAAAATATTGTTTTCCTTGATATTTCCTATTTGATTCATTGGTTACTTAGAATTATTTTAAAAAATTTTTAAATATTATTTGGGGTTTTTCAGTGATCTTTTGTTTTTGGTTTCTGATATAATGCTGTTGTGGTAAGAGTATACATGTTAAGATTTTAATCCTCTTAAATTTAAGAATTTATAGGCTTTATTTATTAAAGGTTGATGCCTTTGAAGTTTTTTGTATCTTTGCCAATTTCATGTCTAGTTATTTTATTAATTACTGAGAGAGAAGTGTCGAAATCTTTAATGGTAACCTTAAAGTTTTTCTTATTTCAAAGTTACGGAACATAGAGGGTTATAATGTTAAGATGGTTGCAAGATATAAAAGCTAAATTTTTAAAAGCTATTTAATTTAGGAGGAAGGGAGTATATTTGCTTTTTAGAATTGCAAAGACTTGCATTCCAGAACCATTCCTGCTATTTGTGATCTTGGAAATCCTTCTTACCCTATTTTTCCTTTGGGTGAATAGAGGTAACACAAACTTTTGGTGGCTATTGTGATGATTGGATGAGATAATACTTGTAGAATTCTTAACATGGTACCTGGCGTGTATTAATTCCTAAATAGGAATTATTTTGTTTTTTTAAATTTTTGTGTCTTTTCTTAACTTGCATACTAGGACATTAAATATGCATTTTAATATTTGGTCGATTTCATCTTGTTGACTTCTTTATTATTTTACCCTTGGCCTGCACCATGTCCTTTTTTGTCCTTGTTGTTTATTTTTTCCTCTTGCTTTTGTATGCCTCTTTTATTGACAGTCTCTTCAGAGCTTTGAGTGTACATTGCCTTGGTTGTATTGAAGCTTTTGTTGTATGTTTTTCTTCCTTGACATAATTTTACCCACCTTGCAATAAAGTAGTAAAGAAAAAGATGGAAGGGTTTATATAATAGATAAACTTTAACAACTATAAAATTGTTCCATATTACTTTGCTGTCTGAAACAAGTTGTTTTTCTTTTCCAGATAAACCGAGAAAGCTGGTGTACAATAGAACCATGCCCAGAGGCAGCATCTCTTTTGGCTTCCCAGCAGAGCCCAGGTAAGCAGAGTTTTCCCATTTTCCWGTTTGCCTGAGAAACTACATCCAAAATGTTCATTTTTCTGGAGCCATAATTCTACTCTAATAATAGATCATTGATTCGTAGCTCTCCCCTTCCTTAGCATGTTCCACAGGAATCAGAGGAATGGATATGTGTGATGTTCATAGGCGTCTGGTTCATAGGCATCTCATTGAAGATGAGCACAGATAGTTTTCTTCATTTTATTTTAGAGGCAACAGACTTAACATGTAGCTTTATGATTTATTAATTTATTTGTGAGATTATCTGGTGCTGTGAATTTGTGTGTGATATAGGTTTTTTAATCTGATAAAATTGTAAATATATGTATTATTAGGGACTAAACCCATGCTTCTCAATTTTGGCTACACAGTGGATTTATCTGGGTGWGCAAGCTTTCAAAATACCTGGGTCCTATTCTCTGAGATTCTGATTTAATTAGGCTGGGTATGGCCTGAATCTCAGAATCGTAAGCTGCTTTGGTTTTCCTCTTGGGTAGCTATGGTTGAGAACTATTGCAACTTTGGAAAAAATTGTCAAGAATTTAATTTGTTATTTACCCTTTCCRTATCCTAACTTCAAGCATAAGCAGTTTGGCCTTTTTAGTGATTATTTTTAAAGCTCAACATAACAGAATTTCAGATCTGAATTACACTTCTGTACTTCAGACCTGAGATTTGTATTTTAGGCAGGTTTTTTTTGTTTTGTTTTGTTTTTGTGTGTGTGTGTGTGTGTGTGTGTGTGTGTGTGTGTGTGTGTCCATCCCAGGTGTATACTGTATCTCGAAGTTTTCTTTTTTTCTCTGTTTCTCCCTCCTTTCCTCCTCCTCCTCCTCCTCCTCCTGTTTTGTTTTGTTTTGTTTTGTTTTTATTTTGTTTTGTTTGTGGTTTTGTCCATTTGTAGTACTAGGGATTGAACCTAGGGGTACTCTGCCACCATCCCTAGAACTTTTTTATTTTGAGACAGGTTCTCCCTAAATTGCTGAGGCTGACCTGGAACTTGTTATCCCCCTGTCTTAGACTCCTGAGTAATTGGGCCACCACAACAGGCTTCAGTTTTTGTTTTACTTTACAGTGTCTCAGTAGAACAATAGAGTTAGAGCAAATAAGATAATAATGTTCTTTAAGATCACTTTGTGTGATAAATACAAGATAGGATTATAATTAGCATGATTTAACAAAGCCCAGTACATGTTGCTGATGTTTTCCTATTCTTTTTCAACTAAAATTTGWTAGCATATACAGTCATATATGGCCCAAAGATAAGGATACATTCTGAGAAATGTGTCTGAGGTGATTTTTACCATTGTGTGAACATGATAGAGTGTACTTAGGCAAATCTGGGTGGTATAGGTACGATCTGCTGCACACCTAAGCTGTGTGGTATATACCATCATATATGTGGTCCGCTGCTGACTGAAATATTTTTATGTGRTGCAGAAATTTGTCATTTTAAACCCAAAAGACTGGATAACATCTCAAAAAGTATATTTTCTGTTAGCTTTTAAAAAGTTAATGATGCAGTACACAAAAATTGGGGGCATATTTGTATATGGGTTATAAAACCTGACTTGTCCTTGCTATGCCCATTTTCAGATAACTGTCATCTGGATATTTAAAGAATCACACATTACAGATTGATGGAGTCTGAACTTGATTAGGCACATGTATCACATATCTGCTAAGTGCTAAGGACCAGAGTTCTGGTTACTATGTGTATAAATTATTTATGTCACTACAACTCCTGGAAGATACTAATCATTTCATTTCACTGGTATGAAAATAAAGAGTAGAGAGTCAAATTACTTCTTGCCTGTGATCTAGATTTAAGCCAAATCCATTGAACTATAAAAATAGTACTCTACTCTTGTTTATGTTGCTCTACATTATTCATTAGGTGATGTGTAGGAAGAAATGAAAGAGTTCATTAATTTTGAAAACTTAACACATGTGACACAAGATCTGGTCACCTTTGGGGGAATGCCCCCCCAACACACACACACACACACACACACACACACACAAAATGGAGGTGGTTCTGAGGTTATAATGGTTTAAGGTCTTTGTGTCTCCATTACTTCTTTTCCATCCCCTTCCCTTTTCCCTACCCCAGCAGTCAACATTATCTCAAACAGTGAACTGTTCCTCTCCCAAACTAGGTTTGTGGTCCTTTTTGCTGGCTTGGATTTATTTTCTGGGTGAGGTATTTCTAAGTCTGAATCTGRATCTTTCTGTGGATTTTCTGTTAGAATATCTTGAGCTGGGTTGTTTTCCAGTCTGGAATTTGGACATGGTCTGTTAGATTGCCAGCTGGACAATCTAGCAGCTCAGCATAGTTGCTGTGACAGCCCTTTCTTTTCTTGGCTAACTCCCTTGTTTTCCCCTCAGCCACAGAATGGAGCTTTTAATTTTTCCAAGTGGGAAAAGGGAAAGGAATAGAAAGATCACAAACCCACCAACTCCACCTAAGTTTTACTACATTCTGTGCAATGTAGGGGAGGGGACTTCCAGAATACCCATAATTTCCAATGTCTCAAAGGCAGGTCCCTTCCCATTGAACTAACACATCTGAAATAGTCCATTAACTATAGGGTCTTTTTTTTTTAATTTCAAATTTTTAAAGTTAATCCACAGCCCTGACTCATTTCATGTGGATGGCATCCTTTACACAATTCTATGATGAAATTATCTTTTAATGTGTTCATTTCTGCCACAGATAAAACCCCCTCTCCCCTTATATTTTTATTTGGACACTCCCCAGTACCTAAATAAATGCCTAACTACAGAAAAAGTAGTTTTTCTGACAAGCAGTGCATTACCTATTCTGATTCAATGCCTCCTTCATCAGAACTTACCTGGCTGGTTCAGGGTAAATAATTTTATTATTAATTCTTAATTTAGATAAAAACTTCCCATTAGCTGTACCCTACATCCACACCTCTCTCACTTGCTCTCCTTCCTCCCTTTCTTTCTCTCTCTCCTACACACATACAYACACACACACAAACATCATTCAAGCATTGAATCTAAGAATCAGAAGATTCACTGGAAATTAACTGGTGCAGTCTACATTCCTCCCTTTGTATATATTATAGCTTTTCTTATAATATCTTGACATAGGCATTCAGTCTGTGCTCCAAYTGTCCTGGTAAAGTGACATTGTTTACTTTTTGAGGCCTCAGCAAAGTCCTGAGAATAGTGAAAACTCTGCCACTTAAACTCAGTGGTCTTTGTTCAGTTCCTAGAAGAATACAGAAAGAAATATACTGCTGTCTTTAGGCACATTTTCTTCAAATTGTTGCCCAAGCTGAATGTAGCCTGTTTGTTTCTACTGTTGTGACCGCATTACCATGTACACATTTTTTGTTTTATCAGTTTTCCAGTTTAAATGTTGTCTGGGAATAAACAGTCATGTGTAATATGGTCTTGAAAACACATAGTGACAGGATCATCCCCATTTGGATTCCAGTACATTGAATGTTAATAGGATGTAAAATTATTTGTGTGTGTTTGTTTTGACATCACCTTGTATTGTCAGCTCCTTTTTAATTTGCTTTCAACCAAGACTTCTGGGTAGAGATTTAATGAACTGCTGCCTTCATCACKTGGGTCACATACAGATTTGATTCAGTATACATGTATATATGTCCTCACCAAACAATAAAATAACTTAGGAGCGCCTGTCTTCAAACCTCCAAAGAAGGTTAATATCTACCCACTACTTGACTTTTGGATTCTTCATCTGGAATATGTTAGTAGCAAGAATGGGAACTGGTGAACCAAAAGAAGGATCTATGACAGAACTATTAACTCAAATGTGAAGGAACCATTGGATTTCATGGGTTAAATCTCTGTAATCCTATTGCTAGCAGGTCTTATGTCCCTTTGTTCACAAAGTTAATAGGAAATAATAAGTGCATTGTCAATTTCAGGTTAAGTCTTAAGGATCCTTCATGTGAGTATAATAGTTTTGTCATGGACCCCACCTCTCATTCATCAATCTCCATCCTAGTTATTGAATTGAAAACAGATTCCAGATGGATACGTTTTTCTACTTCAGCACATTTTTTTCTGATGTAAGATCTGTTTAAAGGGAGGAAAAGTTAAGTTACATTTACTATTACTCAGTAGAAACCATAAGTGTAATACACATATATTTATTGATAGCACCCCCTTTGTCTTTATACCACTGTTTAGAAAAGGTAACAAGTTTCCAGAAAGAACTTTAGTCCCAAGCTAAAATTGGCCTCAAACCCTATCACATAATTTCCTAGTAATGAACTTCAGATTTTGGTGGCAAAAGAGAATTATTCCCTAACTACCAGGAGGAACCATTACTGTTTAGATAGAATATGATTCTAGATCATCGTTCTTTCTTTACCTTACATAAACATGGCTAACTCATAAKCGGCCTATGGCAAACGTATTATCCTAGAATTGGAATAGTAGAAACTATTAATTTGACTTTTAGTAGTAGAAGCTACTAATTTGAATTCTTGATATCTAAAAAGAAAGAGAAAGAATGAAGGAATGGATGTGGAAAAGYGGGGAAAACAAAAGAGAAGAAAGGTTAGTTGCTTGGAAGAAAAGAAAAATTTTTAAGTATCAGTTGAATAAATTTTCTTTTTCAGGATGTGAGAACATTTTGGATGTTGCATTGAGCGGAGAGTGTAGCTCAAAACAAGATGTACTTCAGAGAGAATCTGGGAGTGATTCTGACCTCTTTCATTCACCCAGTGATGAAATGGACAGCATCATCTTCTCAAAGGTATTTGGGTACCTTCCCTTTTCATTTTGTCCAGTGATTCTCATGCTCCCTTTGGTCTTCCTTAAATCTCTTTCACTTTGTTCTTCTCCTATGCTCATCATCTTCTCAAGGCATATTATTTCCCTTAATATGTGACTCCTACTGGTAAATTGTGATCCAGCTGGCCCCATAGATTTCGCTTGCCTTTGTAATCCCTTTTGAAAAAGGAAATGAGATTTCCAGAGTTTAGGAAAAAAGGCATTATCCAAATTTATTTTCTGCAAAATTCAGCTTGTTTACATGCAAGTTTTGGAACTTGCATTGAAATCAAAGGCATGGAAGTTCCTTTAGAATGAACTAAATCATGACTAAATCATATGACAGTGAACACTATTCCTTGGGCAGGAAAGGACTACAACTTAGACTGTGTGAGGTCATGTGTGTAAGCTAACCATAGATTCATTTTCTGATTGATGTGTGGAGGCCTGAAACTTTACTGTTGATCCTGGTGATATCACCCTTATTCATCCACYCTGCTTAATTGGAACTTTCTAGATCTTTGCTAAGGGATTCAAGCTTTCTATATAGTGAAAAATTCATGCACACAAACCAAGTTATGTTTGCATAGAGTTTGAGGCTAGGGAAGTGGGTGATGGGAGCATTTTGCTGTCTTTTGCTTGGGCTTGTTTCTCCTTGCAGCAAGTTGTTTTGTCCCATAAGAAGAGTAGAGGGCTTCCACACAAGCAGAGGGCAGATAACACTCAATTGTGTGCCATGAGTGGTTTTCTTAGTGGTGAGAGGTGGAGGGGCAGAAATGCCATGGCACCTGTGAAGAAGACTCTTCCTTCAGGTTTTAAGATGAYTTTGGAAAAGTGGTGAGAACAGTTGTGCTAGTGGGTGATCAAGTTATCCAAGAGAGGGTGGTGATTCTGTGTTTAGAAGTTATAGTATAATAATGAAGGCATAAAGTCCTGGAATTCTGGTTTGGAACATACTGAAATCTCTGTGAATATACCCTGTTATACTTCCCTTTCATTTTGTCCAGGGACTTTCCTATTCTGACTGGGTGTTTCCTTATCCTTTCTACCTTGTTCCTTTCTCTTCCCAAGGTCCTTGGGAAGATTTGTGGTGCAAATTTCAGGATTTCTGTCATTGTTACCCATAGTGTATTGACTGAAGGGATTCTTTGAAGTAAAAACTCTGTACGTTGGAAGAGGGGAACCAATATGACTTTTAAAATATCAGAATTTTGGTACTTTCCACTGTGCCTTCAAGGCTTTAATTGTAAGGACTTCTGTTCTCCTCTGGGGAAATATCATTGTGAATATACATGTCTCTAAAAACATTGCTTTTGTCTGAGATGAACACATTGGATGGTTTCTCTAGTTCCAGCTTTAACGTAGGCCCATTGATTGATAATGATGGTATATGAAGGTTCATTAAGTATTTATGTTTTGAAATATTAATAATAACATTTTTTTACTATTGGAATTGTTTCATGTAGAAAAACTTGGTTGTAGTCTGCCAAAGTGGTTTGTTACCAAGAGATACTTTGCATTAAATATTTTCTCTAACATTAATAAACCAAGGGCTTACTACTTGTGAAAGGAAAAGGAGGGAGACAAACTAATATTGATAGAGTGCTTACCATACACATAGCCCTGCAACTCTAGTGGTTTTGTCTTCCTTTTACCCTTAAGGGAGTAGAGGCTCTGATTGGTAAAGAAGTTAATCCAAAATTACTGAGCTACTGAGTAAGAGAACTGAGATTTGCACATACGCCTGACTCTAAAATCTCTTTGTATTTTTTAATTTTGCTCTAGTCCCTGAAAAACTCTTCTAAATCCAGTGATTTATTTGAAAGTATAGTCATGGTAGACAGGTCATCAGCTGCTTCCTTAGAAGTCTTCCTCATTGATCATCCACACATGGACTGTGCAATACCAGAATGTTTCAGTTTCTTCCCAGGGCCTAACCTCCCTTTCCTCCTTTCTCTTCCCAGGGCTTACCCCTCCTCTTCTTCATTCTCTAAAAATATAATCTGTGGGCAAGATATTGCAACATCCTTTTCTGTGAACCATGAGTGGTGCATTAGGTCACTTCCTGCAGTCATTTATGTGACTGTAGTCTTACAGAGCGCTCCTTAACAGCCTGAAGTGTTCTTCACCAACTGTTCACCTTAACCTGTCTTTCCATTGAGTGTGCCTCCCAGCAAATGGAACTATCTAATGAGTGTTATGAGCTTCATGTTTATTCTTATGAATATCTGTGAGTTATTAAAGTCTTTCCGTTCCTTATATCAGCAGCATAAATTTTACATTTTTAAAGAGAAGAAATCCTGGAATTCTTTTTGGCACTGGCTGAGAAAATGTGATCATAAAATATGCATAGTCTAGGCCACTCTGATCTAATACTTAAGATTCTTAGATAAAATATTATTAGATAAAATAAATGAGTTAAGTGATTGTGGTATGTATTAGATGTTTAAAATGTGAGCTGTGATTTTTCAAGGCACATAGCAGGACTCCTTGAATATAACATAATAAATAATATTAACTAATTGAGTGAATAGATAAATGAAAATTAAAGGACCAATTAAAGGACCAGTGTTTGGGCACTATTAAGCTTGATTTCTTCAGTTATAGTAATAAAACATAAAGTGTTTAGCTGTTTTCACATTTCTGTGTGTATGAGTTACATAATTTTTATACTCATATATCTTATTTACATAGTTTAACTCTGGTTGAGGAAGCCAAGCAGGCGTTTCCCCCCAACTTTTCATTATCAAAACACAGAAACATGTAGAAAAGTTTAAAAAAAATCATGCAGTGAACACCAAATATATCCATCTCTCAGATTCTACAATTAACTTTTTATTGCATTTACTTCCTTACGTAGCAGTATTTCTGTTCATTCATCTATCTACCCACCAGTCCACCTAAATTCTTTGGTGCATTTCAAAATATGTCAGTACACTTCACCTCTGATTACTTAGAACTCATCATTTGTTTATAGTTGGTTTTTGTTTTATTTGTAAAAATTTATATACAATGAAATATACAATCTTTTAAAATTTTTTATTTTTTATACTGGAGGATTGAACACAGGAGCAACTTTATCACTGAACTAAATCTCCAGTCCCTTTTTATTTCTTATTTTAAGACAAGGTCTCACTAAGTTGCTGAGGGTCTCACTAAATTTGTTGAGACTGGCCTCAAATTTGCAATTCTCTTGCTTCAGCCCCTGGAGTCACTGGGATTATAGGCATGTGCCACTGTGTCTGGCTGAAATGTACAACCTTGAGGATTCAGTGATTGTTGATAAGTACATTCATTCACTTTTTAACCCAAGCCCACATCAAAATATATAAACTATAAAGATCACCTTGGAAAGTTTCTTTTTTTTTTTCCTTCCCAGACAGTCTCCATTTAAACTCTCCAGAGTCAGCACTCCCCTGACCCCCACCCCCACCCCATGTATTAGTTTTCCATGTTTCAGAACTTAACGTAAATCCAGTCTAAATAATGTCATTTCTTGGACTGGGGCTACAGCTCAGTGGTAGAGTGCTTGCCTTGCTTGTGTGGGGCACTAAGTTCGATCCTCAGCACCACATAAAAATAAATAAAGATGTCGTGTCCATCTACAACTAAAGAAAATAATAATAATAATATGTTTCTTGCCTGAGTACCTAGAAGTGGAATTGTTAGATTATATGTAGGTGTAGGTTCAGTTTTATGAGAAACAGATTATTTTCCAAATTGATTATACCATTTTACACTCTCACCAGTGGTGTATGAGAACTCCAGTTGTTCTACATCCTTATTGACATGTATAATTGTTTTAGTGTTTCTGGCATCCATGCAGTAGTATGTCTTCAAGGTTTTTGATTTACATTTCCTTGGCAACTAGTGTTGTTGTAAACACATTTTCTTGTGTTCATTGACAACTTTCGTATCTTCCTTTGGGGAGTGTCTATTCAAATCTTTTGACCATTAAAAAAAAAAATGTATTGTTAGTTGCTGCTGAGAAGTAGAGTTCTGTGTGTAAACCTGGATATCAGTCCTTTATTAGGCTTATGTTTTGCAATTTTTTCTATGTATGCCTTGCCATTTGCTTTTATAATGATGTTGATGTGAGGTGAAGTTTTTACTTCTGATGAAATGTGATTTGTTAATGTTTTCTGGTTATTGCATATTGTGTCCTGTTCTATTTTTGTTTTTCCTGCCTTTAGTTTTAATATTTTTCTTTAAAAGTTTTATACTTTTAGCTTTTACATTTAGCAGTAAGATCCATCTTAGTTTTATGTTAAACATTTTGGTAACAGCTCTACAGATTGATAGCACTARGATTCAATCCTAGCTGCATCTARAATCACCTAAAGAGCTATTWAAAAAAAAAAAAGTGCGTCTAGCTCTTGGCTGAGACTAGCTAAGTTAGAATCTTGAATTTGTCATTTAAATTCACTGATCCTCAGTTTTCTCAACTAAAAATGGGAATGAGAATATTTATTCAAATAGTTATAAGGATTAAGAGGAGTAATATTTCAAAATAGCTTAGCATAAACCTGACATGTGATAAGTAACTAATAATTATTATTCAAGTTCATCATATTTTTTGTTTTATATCACTATTTAAGAATAGTAATAGCTTCTAAGACTTTATTTAAGTAGCATTATTTTGTTTTGACCTTTTTCATTTATCTTACCTATATAATTATTTTATAATTAAAATCTTAACTAGTTTATTTTACCCCAAATTAAGCAGAACATTGTCCTTTCGTTACTTCATAGCTTGGTTTCTGTCCCTCTAGCTGAAGCTGTCCATTTAAGGCTGCTGCTTGTAAAGAGCTGCAAACTCTTGCCTTTGTCTTGCTTGGAGAGCCCTTTCTTTGGAAGTATCTGTCTTTGCCTTTTGCTACCCTGATGTCTTTTGCAGATTTTTAGGATTAGATAAGCCSTAAGGATTTTTCCTGATGGTAAAGATGATACTTTTTAGTGTATTCCAACCCTCCTGTATGCAGGAGGAAAAACAATTGTGAGAACTCAAGGGAAGAAGGATTTGTGTCAATCTCAGATATAAACACAGCTTTAGTTTCTCCAGTGTTTTTCCTTCTCACATACATACACAACTATTACCCACCCATTCTCTCTTAGTCTCCCTTTCTGTGTCTCTGTTTCTTTGTCCTTCTTTGTTTGGTGTCYTGCCTTCGAACTGTATCTTAGGGGAAGAACGAAAACCTGAATTATGTTTGGCCATCTACTGAATGTACCAATAGAAATACCACTGAATTATAATTCCATATAAATTAGATGTCTTGGATCAGCTGATCCCGTGGCATCATTCCTTCAGACAGGAGTAATATCCTAAGTCCCTGGAAGTCATTTAGTTAGCAGACATTTTTTAAGATAAATTATCTGCCTAAGAAAGACTGACACATAACCCAAGAACCCTTAACAGAAACTTTGGATCTTAGACATGGAATGTTAAATGCCAGAAATCATAAATTTTCTTTCCTTCCAACATATACATGGAAAAACATAATTCCCTCAAACCTGGTATTTGTATGTAAGGGGGCAGAAAGAATGGGGGAAGCAATAGTTCTTTAGTCTATATTGGGTAGCTCTAAGAACTTCAGCACTAAATAGTTTCAGGAACTAGAAAGCAATTCTGTTCTTAAAAAATTGGAAAATTTACAGAAAGTTTCAGTGTCATCCATGATTTAAATGGACTTTACCTTTCAATAGGCCTCATATTAATATCTGACCTCTGTTAGATCTGTTGAACCCTTTCTTATTAGATGTCAAGGTAACATGAAAAAGTGATATCTATAGTCAAGATGATTAGCTATAGCAAGACCATGACTATAGTCTAGATATGATTTTCAGTTTGCCACCCATTTTTATTCTACAGGGATCATGTAAAGACATGATGGAGTTGCAGGGACAGCACTTGAAAACATGTGAAAGTATTGGGGAGAAAGTAAAGATTCCTTTAGATTTGGTCCAGCATTGAAGAAAACTATTTGTCTTAGTATTTAACAATTGAACTCAGTTTTAGTTTCAGAATATTGTTCTGCTTTTGCCTTTTTGGATAATACATAAAAATACATGGGTGAGAGAATATTACACTATGTGAACCTTACTTTTATCAGAAATACAGGACTGAAAAAAAATCAGAGTTACTGTTAAAGACTCCTTGATCATTCCTCAAAATGTCATACTACACACCAGAGGAAAATGCTACATTGAGGATAAGTTCTAGACAGATCTCTTCTTTTTTAAAACACATGAACAGGCTATCAAAGATTTTCCCATTTTGTTTTAATGTTTTGGGAAAGGGAAGATGTTTGTTTTATGAGTTTCAGATTAGCAAAATGCAAAGTGATTTTTTTCAAGATAATAACCTTCTAAGAGTAGATGCCAAAGTAAAGAAGCACCTGTTCTGCTGTCATGAGTCATTTCCAAACTGGGAGGAGCTAACCTATAAGAAGAATATATAGTAARTGGAAAGTAACTCAGAGGTTGTGTTGCCTTTGAAGCCCTTCTTGTGTGTTTTAAAACAGGCTTGTCTCATTTTGCTTATTGATGCCCATTCTGTTTGTCCCCTGCTATTATTTTGAGAATGAGAAATTTAGGGAACTAGGTGAATATATTAATCCTAGTGCTGCTGTTAAAAATTACAATAATTAGGGATGTATCTCAGTGATAGAGCATTTGCCTGACATATGTGATATCCTGAGTTTGATCCCTAGCACTCACTGAAACCAAACAATCCCCCCTCCCCAAATCTAGGTGGCTTGAAYGAACAAATTTATTCTTTCACAGTTATAGAGGCTACTTGTCCTGAAATCATGCTGCCTGCTGAGTTGCTTTCCCCCTAGAACCTCTGAGAAAGAATCTTTTCCATGCATCTCCTAGTCTCTGGAGCTTTTTGGCAGCCTGTGGCATTCCATGGGTTGTTCAGTCTTTACTTCAGTCTTCATGTGGAATTCTCCTGTATCACTTTCCCCTTCATTTCATCTTGGATCAAGGGCCCACACTACTCCACTGTGATCTCATCTTGACCCTGTTTCCAAATAAGGTCACGTTCTGAGAAGGACACATATTTGAGAAGGACACGTTCAACCCACTGTAGTGAGAAAGCTAAGACATTCTAGAAGTATTTTCAATAGTTGGCTTTTATGACCATTTCCATTTTCTTTATTTATGGAGAGTGTCTCTGTGAATAGGAATCCTTTAGGATGGCCATATCATTTCCTCATTAACTTAAAAAGAACTGTCAGTGATTTTATTTTACAATAATACTTATCATTACTTTAGAATTTATTTGATGAAGTGCAGTTTATTTTGTAGTTTGATACAATGAGGGGAGGGGACTTTTCTGATACTTAGAGATCGTGTCCTTATAGAGTTTTTGAAGATACTTGAGATAACGGAATAGGGCAGTTTGGAGTTGAAATCAACTTTGATTTGAATCTTGATTCTGCCACTCACTGCCTATGTACCTGGGAGAGTCCATTAAATAGCCTGGGCCCTGGTTCCCTGACAAGTAGTCTGATCCCATTGCATTTTCCCTCTTCCCTCTCAATCTCATTTTACACATTATATAAAAATGAATTAATCTAGCAAACTATACTGAGAGGGGTGGTCAACAGTAGATGAGATCCAGCCAAAAAGGYACAAAGGTGCTTTTATAAAGTAGTATGCTTTTGGTCATGAGTATTTATAATTAAACCTTTTAAAGACTGTCCTTCAAGTACAGGRTTTGTTTTCTATTCCAAAGCTGAAAGGACTCATTGGCTCTCATACTTTAAAAAATCTTTCTCTAAGAACCACATATTTCTTCACTCTAATTAAAACATTGAATTAAGTGACTAATTAGAAATATACTTGAAGGGGAGGTGTCACAGCATGCCTTTCTCTACTCCTTGTTCCTTGCCCTGTTAGAGTTCAAAATAAAGATATTAAGGAAGTGCTTGTAAGAGAGAATGTGACCATGCATCTCTTAAATACTTAAAAACAGTCTTAAGGCCTTTTGTATGCTATGAAACTCATCTTACTTACCAAGAAGTAGGGTGTATTGGGCAACTATGCCTAATATGTGCCCAGTTCCTATTATGCTCTATAGGTTGGCCAGGAAAAAATCATTGTCACTTTATCAAAGACCTCATTGCYAGGACTGACTGTTTTGGCTTCATAATATTCAGCCAAGTTAAATGAGAAGAAATAATAGTTTTCTTCTGTTTTGATATTGGTGGCAGAGTTAAGGTGGGATCAGAAGCTATTCTGTGTTTTTCAAAAGGACACTTAAAAATACTTAGGTACTTGCTTTTGGAATCTTAACTTTACTACATTATTTTTGTAGCCATACAKGTTGTTTTGTTTCATTTAAAGCTTTTGAAAAAGTTAACTCTTAATTCATTATCATATTAGACTTTTCATGCAGCAGAAAGTCTAGAGACAAATGGTTCCCCTCATTTCAGTTGATCATATTTATTAAAAGAATAAACCTAAGAATTACTTGTAGTCTAGTATGACTAGTAAGATGACAGAARGAGCTAGACCTAGAACATTTCTATACTGAAGGCCAACTGCAATAATGCTTTAAAAACAAAAACAAAGCAACAAGTCTGTTCTAAGGCAATTATTTATCTTGTCCACCTTTGATCAACTATGAAGCCATTGGCTTGTTCTAGAGTGATTGAGACTTCTGGTTGATCCTGCCAGTTTCAACTGTATGTATTTTCTCTCCATTACAGCCCGAGGAAGAGCAGTTGGTCTGTGATATTACAAGATCTGGTTCTTCTACTGATGACACAGCTTCTCTGGATCGACATTCTTCTCGCGGCAGTGATGTGTCCCTCCCTCAGATTTCAAAATTGAAGAGATCTAGAGACCAGCAAAGCCATGATGGCTTCTATAGCCATGGGGTGGGAGTTGAGGGTCCAGAAGGTGAGAGTGAGCCTGCTGGCTCTGGGGAAATTGAAGAAGAGGAGATGGACAGCATCACTGAAGTACCTGCAAACTGCTCTGTCCTGAGGAACTCCATGCGTTCTTTGTCCCCTTTCCGGAGACACAGTTGGGGTCCTGGGAAGAATGCAGCCAGTGATACAGAAATGAACCACCGGAGGTGAGATGAGAGCCCATTCACTTAATGTTTCAGTGTCTGCTTATTTTTGAGAAGTTTCTGATTTGGTAATATTATCAGTGAAAGATGTTAGGAGACACCATGGTATTGAAGAAATAACRTGGGCTGTTGAATCAGGAAGATCTGTGTTCAAACACCAGCTCCATAAAYTTAACATGTAGGAAACCTAGGCAAGTCATTTGACCACTCTGAGCTTTAATTTTCTCATCTGCAAAACACTGGCCTTTGAGAATATTTGTAATAATCAAGTGAAATGTGTCATTTAGTGAGTTTAAATAAATAATAATGTTTATTCTTGTCAGATTTGTTAATGAAATTTGTGAATTAGAAAATATTGGAGCATGGGGCCTGGGGTTGTGACTCAGTGGTAGAGCACTTGCCCAGCACCTGTGAGGCCCTGGGTTCAATTCTCAAAAATTAAATAAAAATTAAACCACATAAATTAAATAAAGGTATTGTGTCTATTTACAACTAAAAAAATATATTAAAAAAAAAAAGAAAATATTGGAGCATGGCATGATGGTGCAGGAGGATTGCAAGATCAAAGCCAGCCTCAGCAACTTAGCAAGGCCCTGACCAACTTAGTGAGACCTTGTTTTAAAATAAAAGAATTT